ACACTAAAACTGCCCCGCCAAAACATGGGAAACAGGCGACATGCAACAAATCATCCCATCTCACACTTGCACCCCCACTCATTGCATCAGTACGGCGCAGGAGAAAGTGGCCAATGAAGGGGCAGTAAGGGTCGGGCACCCGTAAAAACATTCACTGACCCGTACATGAGAACCACGCATGTCCGGAAGCTGGGTTGGAACTCACTAGAATCCGCTTGGACGGGAAATATCTGCTTAAAATTACAGCCTTCTAGCCTTCTAGGTTCTCAAGTTAGCAACTTACCACCGAAAATTTTCGTGGGCACAAACCTCACACCTAGGGCTGAATATGAATTCATTAATTGTACGTGGACGGGGAACATCCACATAAACTACAACCTTCTAACTTTTCAGTTTCCTGAGTTAGCAATTTACCTACAAAAAAATTTCACAAGCCCGTACATGGGAACTACATGTACTCAGGCGCTGATTTTGAGGCCTTTGGCACCTACGTGAACTGAGAGCATCTTCATAAAATTATAGCCTTCTAGCGCCTAAGGTTCCCGCAAAAAATTTTCACGAACAGAATTTTCGAGTGCGGTAAAGTTCTCTTAGCTAAAATGACGACATTTTGAGAGAAGTCAGAAGGCTGCAAACCTGCGGCTTTTTTACGGGATTAGCCGCGTCCCAGCAGTCGGTAACAACAGATGATGCAATGCATTTTGCAAATATTTTTAAAATTATTCATCAAAACAGCCTATTTGTCAACAAATAAGCGCAAAATTATAAAAAATGTAAATTTTCAATTTTTTTCTAAGGCTTTTTGCTGTGAAAGACCCGGATTAGTCTCAGCCCAGCGTCGTTAGTGATCGGAGACGGAAAAGCAATCTACCCTCCGAGCGAAAGAGCAACCCACTCGGAGTCAGCGGCAACACTTATTCAACTGATTAGTGAGCGAACCCAACAGTTTTCGTCCTGCAGGGAACTTCGGACGACAGGTGCCGTGTGTGGTACCACATCACTTGCGTTGCGTACGCAACGTGATTTTTGGGAGAACCTGCGCAAGGCTCGAGGAATCTCAAGGTGAACTTGAAAAGTACAAAAAGGCCGTTTCGAGAAATTTTGACAGTCTGCCAATAGCTGAGCGGACATAGTGCTGTAAGTCTGAGGAGTAGAAGAAATTCAAAAAATTTTAATCTTGGTTATTTGCAACATCAAACATTTCACGTAGACGGGATAGGAATCGCTGCAGTGCTGGTGCACCGAATATCTTATTTTAGCTTGTGTCACTTGGGTAGATTTCAAGTGCGGCAAAGTTTTCTAAATTATTTTCAACTCGGAAACCACAAAAGCTAGGAAGCTGAAAATTTAGGACACTATTCCCCGCCATGTGTGACCCGACACATATATTTTCAGCCTTCCCCTACCTTTTCGTACCATGTACGTCCCCGTGAAAGTTTTGTCGGAGAAAATTATTATTTCTGGAACTATAAAAACCAGAAAGCCGAGATTTTAAGGTAGTTAACCCTGCCCAGTGTGTTCCCGCAGATTTGATTTCAGTCATTCCCTCCCCTTGGGTGCCTCCTGCAACCCCCGAAAGTTTTTCCGAGGAAAACTGTTATTTCGGCATCTCCGGAACTTGGGAATCTGAAATTTTAGGATAGTGTCTCTCGCCCTCGCACGATTTCGCAAATTTAAATTCAGCCTTATCGCGCACCGGAAAGTTCTGGCTGGGGAGTTATTATTTCGCGAATTACAAAAGCTTGGAAGTTTTAATTTTACGGCAATTTTCCCTACCCAAGTACAACTCCGCACCTTTAAATTCAGCCTTTCCCTCCCTCTGAGCACCACATACGACCCTGCAAAAGTTTTGGCGGGGAAAATTGTTATATTGGGAGCCACGAAAGCTGGGAAGCTGAAATTTTAGGGCGCTGTTCCCTGCTTACGTATGACCGCGCAAATTCTCCTTTCACATACGCCGGAGTCTCAACCTCTCCAAGAAAGTTTTGGTGGA